ATAATTGAATATTACATATGTGAGGTCTGTTATACCTTTGAAAATGTTTTAGGCTTTAAAATAAAATATTCTAAATAATTCTTTCTTATTATTTGCTCTTCATTCTTGGGAGGAATACTAGTGACAATATCATTATTTCTCAAGAAGTGTTACATTCTTTGAACCTCAAAAAAGGGAAGAAAGGGGGGATGATTTTAAAAATTGACCTGGAAAAAGCTTATGATAAAATTTCTTGGGTTTTTTGAAAACAAACACTTGAGGAGTTTAACTTTGACAAAACTTCTATTGATCATGTTATGAGTTGTGTTACCACTGTGAGCACTGCCATTATTTGGAATGGTGAACCTCTTGAGGAATTTCAACCTCAAAGAGGCTTACGCCAAGGTGACCCCCTATCCCCTTACCTCTTTGTCTTATACATGGAGAGATTGTCTAACATGATAAGCTCCAAAGTAGAGAGCAAGAGTTGGAAAGGGATTGAGATTACTAGAGGTGGGCCTAGCCTAACTCATTTGTTTTTTTGCTGATGATCTCATGTTGTTTGGCCAAGCTACCATCAAAAACTGCAACACCATTATGAAGGTCATGCATGAATTCTGTGACATCTCTGGATTAAGGGTTAACTCCCATAAATCCAAATTGTATGTATCCCCTAATGTTGAGAGGAGGTATGCCAAAGAGTTGAGCACCAAGTGTGGTATTCCCCTAACGTCTGAGTTAGGGAAATATCCGGGAGTTCCACTGTTAATGGCAGAGTTGGCCGAAGGCATTTCAATGAGGTTTTAGAGAAAATGCAAAACAGATTGTCTGGTTGGAAGGTTAATACCTTATCCATGGCAAGTAGAGCTACACTCATCAAATCTGTGAGCTCTGCCATCCCTTCCTATACTATGCAAACTATGCTTATCCCTAAAAGAGTGAGCAATGATATTGACAGGTTGAATAGAAATTTCCTATGTGGTGGCACCCTGGAAAAGAAAAAAATTCACCTGGTCAATTGGGATGCTGTTTGTAACATGAAAAACAAAGGTGGCCTTGCTATCAAGAAGGCCAGAGACCAGAATTTGGCTTTGTTAACCAAGCTAGGTTGGCACCTGCTTAGTAACAAAGAAGGTTTGTGGTGTGATATGCGTAAAGCTAAATTAAAATTCATATAAAAAAATTTATTTTTATAAAATAATTAATAAAATGATGTGAATTTCAAATTTTAAAAAAAAAATTAACTCACTTTATTACATTTATTTTGATGTTTATAAAATTTGATTATAAATTTATTCCCAACTTTCTTAAATAAAATAACACCACACATTTTATCTCTTACACTTTATCTTGTGTCTTAAAAAGTAAAAAAATAAATTAAAAAAATAAATAAAATGTGGAGTTTTTGTGTTAAAAAATAATTAAAAATTTTATACAAAATGTATAGTGGAAGTAGCCAATATAGTATTTTATTAGTTTAGCACAAATTTTAAGTATTACCTGTTATCTTTTCAACCACTAATATTTTGAAGATGTCATTTTCAATAACAAGTATATAATAGTAAGTTCACTCATAGTAAATAGTAAGTGTAACATGTAGCAATAGTAAATTAATTTTATAAATATTTTATTAAAAATACTCAAAACTACCTTATTTGTAGGAATCTATCTTGGTTTTCCAATTAAATAATAATTATTTACTCATCAATGGTCATGATTACTACCTTCTTTATTAACCTCTTTAGCCACCACTCTACAGAAACCATTGGAACAATTTGATTTTCTGTAAAGTTGATGAGGAGGCCAATGATCACCTTTCTCGTCCTGTTACTAATGAGGAAATTTGGAAGGCTGTGAAGATCATTAGTGCCTTTAAAGCTCCAGGTAGAGATGGTTTCCAAGCCATTTTCTATCATACCTACTGGCCCATTATTGGCTCTGTTGTGTGTGAATTTGTTAAAATTTGTTTTTTCAACAATCATATACCTCCTGAGATCAATAGAACTCTTGTTGCTTTAGATACCTACTGGCCCATTATTGGCTCTGTTGTGTGTGAATTTGCTAAAAATTGTTTTTTTCAACAATCAAATACCTCCTGGGATCAATAGAACTCTTGTTGCTTTAATTCCTAAAGTTGAGAATCCTAAGACCATTCAGCTCTTTAGACCTATTAGCCTGTGTAATGTCACTTACAAAATCATTTCTAAAATTCTTGTTAACCGATTACGCCCCTTTTTAAGTAAGATTGTTCGACCCAATCAATGCAGCTTCAATTCTGGGAGGAATACTAGTGACAATATCATTATTTCTCAAGAAGTGTTACATTCTTTGAACCTCAAAAAAGGGAAGAAAGGGGGCATGATTTTAAAAATTGACCTGGAAAAAGCTTATGATAAAATTTCTTGGGTTTTTTTAAAACAAACACTTGAGGAGTTTAACTTTGACAAAACTTTTATTGATCATGTTAGGAGTTGTGTTACCACTGTGAGCACTGCCATTATTTGGAATGGTGAACCGCTTGAGGAATTTCAACCTCAAAGAGGCTTACGCCAAGGTGACCCTCTATTCCCTTACCTCTTTGTCTTATGCATGGAGAGATTGTCTAACATGATAAGCTCCAAAGTAGAGAGCAAGAGTTGGAAAGGGATTGAGATTACTAGAGGTGGGCCTAGCCTAACTCATTTGTTTTTTTGCTGATGATCTCATGTTGTTTGGCCAAGCTACCATCAAAAACTGCAACACCATTATGAAGGTCATGCATGAATTCTGTGACATCTCTGGATTAAGGGTTAACTCCCAAAAATCCAAATTGTATGTATCCCCTAATGTTGAGAGGAGGTATGCCAAAGAGTTGAGCACCAAGTGTGGTATTCCCCTAACGTCTGAGTTAGGGAAATATGCGGGAGTTCCACTGTTTAATGGCAGAGTTGGCCGAAGGCATTTCAATGAGGTTTTAGAGAAAATGCAAAACAGATTGTCTGGTTGGAAGGTTAATACCTTATCCATGGCAGGTAGAGCTACACTCAACAAGTCTGTGAGCTCCGCCATCCCTTCCTGTAGAAATTTAATGTATAAAGAGAAATAGAGAATTGTATTATTGATTGATTTATCTATATATAGGAATCATGAATCATTGTAATATATATCGATACAACAACACATAAATCAATCAATAATACAATTCTCTATTTCTCTTTATACATTAAATTTCTACAAATTTCCTATGGGGTGGCACCCTGGAAAAGAAAAAAATTCACCTGGTCAATTGGGATGCTGTTTGTAACATGAAAAACAAGGGTGGCCTTGCTATCAAGAAGGCCAGAGACCAGAATTTGGCTTTGTTAACCAAGCTAGGTTGGCACCTGCTTAGTAACAAAGAAGGTTTGTGGTGTGATATGCGTAAAGCTAAATATTTGAAAAACACGTCCCTTTATGACTAGAATAAGGGCAGAAGAGCCTCCCATTTATGGAGGGGTATCATGCAAACTAGACACATCCTGAGAAAGGGTGTGAAATGGAACGTTGGTAGTGGGCAACATGTGAATGTGTGGAAAGATTGGTGGTGTGGAAATACGGCCTTTGTAGACCTTGAAACCCACACTAACCAAAATAAGTACAGTACTCATATCTCCCTAATACTGTGAATGAGCTGTCTAACTCTTATGGTAGCTGGAATGAGAACAAAATTCACAGATTCTTCGTCCCTACTATTGCCTCTTTGATTCTGGATAATCCTCCTCCATCTTCTCTGGAAATGGACAACCCCTTGTGGAAGGGCACATCTGATGGTTCCTTTAATGTTGCATCTGTGTATAAGCTCATCATTGGCAACCATGAGAATGAGGAGGATTGGAGCTGGATATGGAAAATGAGATTGCCTCAAAAACTGAAAGGTTTTCTTTGGCTTGTGTTCCATGGGAAATTACTTACAAACCAAATGAGACTCAAAAGGGGTTTGACCACTGATCCTACATGCCCTCACTGCTGTGGGATTGAGGATATGTCTCATCTATTTAGGGACTGCTTCAAAGCTAAGGAAGTGTGGTTAGCTATTTTTAATAATCAGTGGTATTTGGATATGATGAGGAAAAATTGGTTGGAATGGCTAGAGAGTAATGCAAAAAATAAACTTATGTTCAATGATAACACTTCTTGGCAATCTATCTTTACTGTTGCTTATGGAAAATTTGGAAGAACAGGAATTCTATGGTTATTGAGCAAAAATCCTTTCAAACCCAAGAAACTGTTAACTTTATTATGAATTACTCTAGAGAAATACACCAAGCTTTTCTTCATTCCATATCTAATCCTAGACCTGCATTCAGACTAATCCATTGGTCTTTGCCACCTGCAGGTCGACTTAAGATGAACACTGATGGCAGTAGAAGAATTGGAGGTGGTGGAGGTTTTGGAGGGCTGATTAGAGATGAAAGAGGCGCTTGGGGGTGTGGCTTCTATGGAAAACTGCAAAGTGGCACCAATCTTGAAGCTGGGCTGTGGGCACTATACAAAGGATTGACCGTCATATTGCAAAAAGGAATGAACCAAGTAATCATCGAGAGCGACGCAGCCCAAGCAGTACAACTGATGCATGAGGACCCAGGTGGCAAAACACCCTTCAAGGAATTGGTACACAATGCTCAAATTCTTCTCAGAGGCTGTGAGTGCTCTGTGCAACACGTTTGGAAGGAAGGGAATCTATGTGCCGATGCATTGGCAAAAATGGGAGCGAACCAACCAGAAGATATGCTTGTTTTCAATGAACCACCGGTTGAATTAAGATGTCTGCTCGTTTCAGACATGATAGGAGTGTCTAGGGAGAGGACTTACTTCCTCTTGTCTTTATTTATTTCCGATGTACCCAAAAAAAAAAAAAAAAATACCCGTACTCAAAGAGCTTATCAAGAATATCATCCTCTGCTGGCTCAAGTGCCTAATTAAAAAGCGGAAATGAAGAGGATTGCAAAAATTTCAATGGTTTATCCTCAAAGAAAGGTGTACTAGTCTGGTTATAAGATTACCTCTCTGGGAGTAGCCCGACTTTCAGGGTTGCAGTCGGGACTAATTCCAATTCCTTGCAATCCCAATCGACTGGCTGGGAAGGCACAAACACGAATCTGAAAAGCAACAGACAACACTAAACAATCAAATACTGCATCAATAAGTAAATTGGATGATCATCCATACATAGAAATAAGGTACCAGTACTACAAAACAAAAATTGAGGAACTACATAAAGAAAAACTATAGGAGTAATCATAAAACACAAGTTTATTTATAGATTTTGGAATCCTAGATTAATTAAAAAATGAGACTATACGGACTATAAACCAATATCAAGGTCTATGGGAAGTAGAGTAAATTCACTTCAAATACACCTTAGTAATGCACATGTTGAATTTGGAAAGAAGCAACACACTATGAAATTGTAAATTCCGAGGCAGAAAAATACAAAGAGAGAACAAAAGACAAGCAGCAGCATGGAAGACATAAACAGAAAAAAATCACCTTTTAAAATACAGGAAAGAGTAGATTGGGGATTAGCAATAAGATGATTCAAAGGCCTCATGAAACTATGTCAGAATCTATGAAGCATGGGTACTTCAAAAAACATGCCGTACCCGTATTGGGTACTTACCGGCGTACCGCACCTCGTATGGTACTTCTGCATACGTACCAGGTACACGAAATACGTACTCAAATTTTTTCTTCTTAATTTTTGACATACCCAGACGTACCTAATATATATTCAAGCAGTACCGTACCTCAATTGAAACAATGTTTTCCTTCTACTACAGAGATAAAACTCATTGCACTAGGCTTCTTTTTTATTTTTTGTTTTATGCTTAGTATGATTTTAAAATTAAACTATAATTTGTAAGTCATTAAATATATTGACATTTAATTTTGATTTATACTTTTACTTTTGGCATTAAATGCTAATTATAGGTTAGACCTTAACAAATTAAACCATTTAATTAATTTTTACATTATTCTAAATTAAAAATAAATATTTTTTTACAAATGTACCAAGCCGTACCCATACCCTATCTTTTTTGAATTTTGCCGTATCGACATACCCGTATCGTACCAGTACAAGTACTTGTACCCGTGCTTCATAGGTCAGAATGAAACCTTAGATTTGTTACTTTCTATACAGGAACATTCACATAATTCCAATGGGGGTAACACCAAAAAACAAAACAAAATCTTCAAAGAGACCTTCCCCTTAATGTCAGAATTGAAGGCAGGAAGGCCCAAATATAGTAATACAATTTCATAATCAATATATTAAAAATTCTTGACATACTTGTCAAGAGAAGCTAAATGAATACGCTGCTGTTAAGTGAGTCTATGCAGCATTCATGCATTAACAACTTCAGATACCATTAACGGGTTTCTCTCATCAGTGATAGTTATGATAGTTATATATTTGTGATTCCACATCAACTAACAAAACTATGCAATGCATGGCTATTTAAATTCTGTTTTCACCGAAAGAATCATTACCGTCTGAGTAGCAGACGTGGGTGGCATAAACAATGTCAAACCCCCATCAATGCAAAGTCGATTACTGAACATTGTTGCTGGTCTTGGTGCAAGATATCTGCACTGAATTACTTTTAGTTCAACTTCATTGCATAAACTACAACACGCAACTTTTAAAAAAAATATATTACAAACTAAAAAGAAATATATTGCAAACTGAAGTTGTTCACAATCACAACTTGAATGAAACCATGTTTCAGTTCCACGACTTCATTAAAGTCGTGATTTAGGCCTCATTTGGAAATGGGCTTTTTTAGTAATTTTTTGACTTTTTGACTAAAATATGATGTAAAAAAAACTAGTATGTTTGAGATGACTTTTTGATTTTTTATGAAAAGATGTGCAAAAAGTAGAGAGAAAAAAAAAAATCTAACTTTTTGGTATATGTTGTTGGCTTTTTGGTTTTTTTAATGACTTTTTGGCTAAAATCACCACTTGCCAAACGAGGCCTGAATCCCACAATTACAAGGTTTATGTTCTTCCAGTTATGCCTTAGGCAGGACTGTAGAGCCTCTATCACCAAAGATTTACATGGGTAAAGTAGTTCACTTTAGGCCCCTATTATCAACCTTTTTACTTCCATCATGAAGAAGTGAGTACATATATTATATATAACAGAATCACTTTCCGATGCTCATTTTTTCTCTCTCTAAAAATCAACTTCACTGGCATGGCAGGAAGGCAAATGCTAGGGTGTTCATACATAGCCCTTCAGTTTTCTCTCTTTCTAAGCTCTCAATTTCAATTATCCAGTTCTCTCTCTGGGACTTGGATTGTCTAGCATAGATGACAATCAGGTGGTACAGCATGTGAAGATCGGTGTTATATGTAGCTTTTATATAGTGTGAGAAAGAAGGGGGGTGTGCAGGTTTGTATGGAGGAAGGAGTGTGAGGAAACAACAATATCAAACATCAGATTTGGTCCATATGGTATGGATTGAAGTAGTTGGCACCTTTATGCTAGGCAATGTTTTGACCATAGAAATCAATAGATGACTTCACTTTCAGTTATTTTTAAATATTTTCAAAACGCAGTTTTACATTAAAATCATGCATTGGAAACACGACTTCAAAAACAACTTGAATTTGGTAAATAAGTTCAAAAAGATTTGGACTTGAGAAATAAATTTTAAAAAGATGTGGGTTTGGTAATATATATACACATAAATCCAGGTATGAAGTACTTGAAATACAGAAATTTGTACCCCGGAATAAAGGATGAAGTAAAGACTGCATTGATGAGGTCTTCTTTAGAGTCAAATTGATCAACCAACAAGCCTCTAGGCCTCCAAAGGATCTGTGTTACAGCAACTGTGAGGAAACAACAATATCAAACAATTGAGGGGCTGCATACAAAAACACATTCAAATAAATTGTTCAAAGTGGCAGGGTGCATCTTATGTTCAATACTCCATACCACACATAAATACACATAAACTTCTTATGCTACATGCTAAGTTTGAATCAATGTAGAACCTATTAAAGTCCTCTAAAATCCTGATCAACATCTTATAATTGAAAGTAGCATTATCAGCAAAACATAAAAGAATGAGCAACAGAAAAAATCATATTTTCTTCAACATATAAACACTTAAAAGTCTCCGAGTTACTGACATAATCCTCAAAGAACTAGCCAAGCAAACTTTAACCAAGAAAATTTCCACGTTTATCGCACGCTCAAGAATCACCCAAATCTTACCCAAGGAAATTTTAGACCACATCAGATATAAAATCAAGGCTTAATTTGACTAGCGAAATGGCCTTTGATAATGCCGCATGGAGAAGAAGGATTCAACAGCACTGCACTAAAGCCATCCAAGACATGGTTGTAGGTATAAAGATGCGTTGGAAGAACACCATTCGGCGAAGACAGGGATGAGAGAGTTGACATATACCAACTATGATGATCTGGGAAAGGAGAAGGCATAGCTGATTTGTCCACGTGGATGATGTATGTCCTACGATCATCCGCAACAACAGCTGCTGACATGCCAACTAAAAGTAGGAAGAAACAAAGGAGCTTGAAAAAGAAAGAGCAATCCATTGTTGGGGAACACTGAAAACAGACAACTGAAATAGTTTAATCAGTACAATTACAATAAGTTTTATATACTGCTCTAGCAACTAAAGTCGAAGTGATGAAACCAACAAAAAAATCATAGAAAAAGCACTAGTGATTGGAGTTTCCATAATTACCCACCCAAAACTAAACATATCAGTTTGCACCTCCATCTGTGCAGATCATTTTCGATATCGCACCACAAACCATGCTGAACTACTGCATGATGGTATCAACAGAGTTCTACTATGCTAAGTGAATATATTCAAGATTTTGATTTAAAAAAAACAAAATAACAAAACAAAACTAGAGTAACAAATATATTAACAACAATGATTCATCCCACTAAAAACATCACCACTAATAGCACTAATGCATTAAAAAAGTAAAAAAAAAAAAAAAAACAATTCCAAAACCAAAACATCTTCATTTCTATGACGGAACC